TTTTTTTTCCTAATAAATAATATTTTTCTAATAAGTAATATTAGCCTAGTAAGAAGTTGCTCTCTCTCTCTCCCTGTGGCCAAAATGTAGCATGTTTCTATCTTGAAAGAGTAATGGCGATTTCTTCTCAGCAAAGGAGATCACATATGGGGAATGAGGATTGGAAGCCAAGCAAAGCAACCCGAAATAGAGGGACGGGAGCCATCATTAATTCTCTGTTTATTTTACCTTCAAAAAGACAAATAAAACTTACCGAGCTAGTCCTTCAAGATCCCGCAGAAGCTACGTTTTAATTGAACTAGTATAGTGTACTTGCGTTGCTCATTGTCATACTTGCCGTCTTTTTTTAACTAAAGGATCGCAATACATTTAAAATATAGAACCATTCTACAAAACAAGAGAAATTTTGAAATTCAAGTTTTAACTGATTTTGGATGAATAAGACTTGTGATTTTTTTTTAGTTTTTTTTTTTTTTTTTTTTGTGAGTTTTTAGAAATATATAACTTTTTATTTTTAAAAATGATAAAAAAAAGTCTGATAACGTTAAACAATTAAAAGGAAAATGCTACTTTTGGATGATATATTTAAAAAGCCAAATATTAAAGAATGAGAGGTTGAGATACACTTCATGAAATAAACAAAATAATTGTTTGAGACTATAGCATAAGTGATATGCAATTTTGAAAGGTATACAGCGTTAGACTTTTTATTCTCTTAAATTTCTCGTTTTTCTTCCTTTACCAATTATATTCATTTTTTAGTTTGAACTACTTAACAATAGTTGCATAGAAAATACAACATATTTAAGAGAATATGAATAATTAATGCATATTTAGGGAATTTTGTTTCCAGGAGTCTAAAAGGAGAATTTCAAAAGTTTTAGTAGTAAATATGTACCACATTAGCTTCTATACCGAGTACAATACACAAACCATGGATGCATAGACATTCATATTTGTATTCATATCTGAAGAGAAAATAGCAAAATTTATCAAAATTATAGTCAAAATCAGCGTGAGTGAACTAATCATGCATATCTAATGCATCATATTTATCTTAATCGTATACGTGATATCATGCCTGGTCCTTGGGTTCTTTGTGGAGATTTTAACGCAACTTTATCTTATGATGAACGTAATGGTAGGAATGGTTCACCAAATGACATAAGATCTTTCAGGAATTTTGTCACTTCAGCATCTTTGATTGATTTACCTCTTTCTGGCAGAGCTTTTACATGGTCTAATAAGAGGTTGAACCCTTCCATGGCTAGGCTAGATAGATTTTTACTATCTCCTGATTGGGATAAAGAATTTCCATTATGCATTCAATGTTCTCCACCTTCTATGGGTTCTGATCATTGCCCAATAGTTCTAGACAGTGGAGGTTTCAAGCATGGACCTTCTTTTTTTATATTTGAAAGAAGTTGGTTCCATAATCCAGATTTTATTCCATTCATCAACACCTCTTGGAATAGCTTTCAATGTAAAGGAAACCCTCTGGATGTCTTCATCATGAAACTAAAACTCCTAAAGAGAATGATTAAATGGTGGAAAAAAAATATTTTAGGATCCATATCCTCCAGAAAAGCTGATATTCTCTCCAAGATAAATTCCTTTGATTTGCTTGAAGAACAAAGACCTCTATCTGACTCAGAATTTATTGAAAGAAAATCATTGCAGTCTTCTTTCTCTTCCATCATCAAGGAGGAAGAAACTTATTGGCATCAAAGATCGAGAATTCAATGGTTAAAAGAGGGAGACTCTAATACATCCTTCTTCCATAAAACAGCTACTTTTCATAAAAAGGCAAATTATATTACATCTATTACCCATGAAGGCAGAGAGTTAACAAGAGAACATGACATATCTAAGGCTTTTTTTGATTATTATTACAGTCTTTTTGGACAGTCTAATAGAAACTTATCGTCTATTGATTGGTCTTCTTTATATCCTGATCAAGATTTAAATCTATCTTCTTTGGAGGAGCCTTTTTCAGAAGTTGAAATAAAAAATGCTGTTTTTGGTATGAACCCCAATAAAGCTCCTGGTCCTGATGGCAAGATTAAAATAGATTTTGATAATGTTTTTGATTCATTGAACTGGAAGTTCATTATTGATCTTCTAAAGGCAAGAGGTTTTGGACCTAGATGGTGCTCATGGATTCATAATATTATTTCATCTTCCAGTTGTGCAGTGCTAGTTAATGGGCAGCCAACCAAATTCTTTAATTGTAAGAGAGGTCTTAAACAAGGGGATCCGCTATCGCCAATGTTATTTAACATTGCGGTGGATGTCCTTCACAGAATGATAGTGAACAATGTTGATGATGGTTTACTATCTAGTCTTGGTATCAAAGCTCCTTTAAACCAGTTGAGAACTCTTCAATATGCTGATGATACCCTTCTTTTTGTCAGAAGCTCTTCAAATGACATCAGAATCCTCAAAACAATTTTGTATATTTTTGAAGAAATGTCAGGCCTGGGTATTAATTATTCCAAATCATCTCTTGTGTATTTTGGCAAAACTCATTTGAAAGAGCATTCACTTGCTTCATCTCTTAACTGTAAAGTGGATCATCTTCCCATCAAATATCTAGGTTTGCCTCTCAAATATGGGAAGCTTTCTAAATCTGATTGGCAACCCATTCTTGATAACCTTCATAGGAAATTATCTACATGGAGGAAACATTCATTATCCTTTGGTGGGAGGCTTGTTTTATTAAATTCTGTCTTATCTTCCATTCCATTATATTTCATGTCATTCTACAAATTACCTATGTGGCTCATCAAGGAAATTGATAAAATCAGGAGAAATTTCCTGTGGACAGGAAATATAGATAATAATGCCTTCAAATGTATGGTTAGTTGGAAGAGAGTATGTCTCACTAAAACAGAGGGGGGATTAGGAGTCAAAGATCTTAAAGTTTTCAATTCATCTCTTCTAGCAAAATGGCTATGGAAGTGTCTGGACAGAAATTCCACAATTGGTGCTTTCCTTCATCAACTATATGCTACCAGAAATTACAACATTCAAACTAGTAGTATCAATACACTGAATTCTTCTTTCTGGAATGCTATCATTTCTCATAATGAGGTTTTTCTTCACAACATTGAATGGAAACTAGGCACTGGTGATAATATAAGGTTCTGGGAAGATAAATGGCTTGGAGCTAACTCTCTAGCTAGCCTTTATCCATCTTTATACAAGTTATCTTTCTCCACTAATGTATCTATCAATAGCCAAGGATTCTTTCAGGACAATATATGGCATTGGCATCCTTTGATGAAAAGAAGTATAACTCCTTCGTCTCAAAATGACAGAATACATTTCATGAACTCACTGCAGCTTCATCATGTCTCTACTCAACAGGATCAACCCAGATGGACATTAACAACAAGTGGAGTTTTTTCAGTTAAATCTTATTACAATTTTCAAATTTCTAGAGGTATTCTCACTCCTTACTACAAGGTTACCTGGAACAATATCATCCCAAGCAAAGTCAGGTTTTTTATGTGGTTGCTAACACTAAACAAATTGCACACTAAGGACAATCTTCTTTCAAAAGGATGGCAAGGAGACAATATATGTTCATTCTGTGGGTTGACAGAAGAATCAAGGGATCATCTTTTCTATTCATGCTCTTTATCATTACATGTTTGGAGACACTTCACAGAATACTACCTCCCTTTTCAATGGCCTTCATGTTTTACAAATCTCCTTAAATCCGTTGAACAACTTAATGGCAAGAAAGGACATCTATGGCGTACAATCCTATCATCAGTATGCTGGCATATTTGGCTTGCTAGAAACAAATTCATTTTTGAGCATACTAATTTTTCATTTAAATCAATTATTAACCTCTCAATCTCTGGTGTATATGATTGGATAGGAGCTGGAAGTGGTTCAGTTGCTAATAATCTCTCTACATGGCTTGAGGAGCATCCAATTAGCAGGAGAAGTACTTGATGTGAAGATCTGCTTGGAAATTCTCTTTTTGGAGATGTTTTTTGTAATTTTGTATCTTAACTCCTTCACCTTGTTTATATTTGTGTCTGTTAGTTTATAGAAAATTTAGTTCCTTCTAATTATACGTATAGCTGGCTTTGGTTCTTCTTTATATCTATGTCAACGGTGAATGACGGCAAGGCCCACTCTTCACCTTCATAGATCTTTAGAAAAAGAAGGTTATACGTCACTAATTACAAGGAATTATATTTTCTATCTACTAACTTCTGGATACATTTCGTATCCTTTTTTGTACTTAAAACAACTTTGTATTTGCTTTTGGTTTTTAATGAACAGGGTCTAACCCTTGTTTTTCTATCAAAAAAAAAAATATTTGACAATGCATGATAAATGCGTTCATATTCTTATTTTATGGATACAGACCAAACTAAGGGTAAGCATAAACTAAAAAAAAAAATCGTAGGTATTGATACGCTTAGTTTGCTTCTAAAAAAATGCATCGGTAGTTATGCAATTCAAGCGATCAATAGCATCTTTGAAGTCCTAGATGGGGATAGTCGAAGATGCTTTTATAGGTTTGGAGGTGCAAGTGGATATGCTCTCAAATGTTGAGTTCCATTCATCTGAGAAATAGACTTGATTCTTGTGGGTTGTGAGACGTATAAGTTTGGCTTCTTTCTTCCTCATTTAAATTTTGACTATGAATGGAATTTTGATTGGTGAAATTTGATAAGGTTTTGTTGTTACTTATACTGATTGGCGGGAGATGAATAGTTGTAACGTTTTTTTATTATTAGTGAATAAAATTATATTTAGTGTCAATGGTTAGTGGATGAACATTATGAGTGGGTGGTTAAATAAAAATTTGAAGAAATATTTTAACATAGCAACCCACTTTTATAATAGTACTAGTGTTATGCACGTGCAATGCACGTGGTTAAATATCAAAATAATTTATTTATTTTATTACTATAAATAATTCAGATTCATTTTGATTATTAGATTTGCTATAATTTTTATTTAAGCATTATAAAAAAATCAATCTAATGGATTTTTGTGTTAAACTGGAATCAATATACTTAACTAGGATATCATAGTTGATTTCATAAGAAAAAGATATTAATTGATATAATTATATCTTCAAACAGAATAGTAAAAAAATAAGTTAAATTGATACTACATGTCATATTCTAAACTCTACTAATCTCAAATTATAGTATGGAGTCAAGAATGAATAACAATATCATTATGAACTATAGTTCTATCAATAAAGAAATAACATTTCCTATTGTATTGAAATAGAATTGCACAACACTTTTCAACATTATAAGCTCAAGATTTATAATAAACAATCTCAAAAGTAAACATAAAAAAAAGTACGACAAGCATGATATATATATGAGATCTCAGCATACATTATTTGATAGACTTAAAATAATAAAATAATAAAACTAAAGATTAATGGTAACTATAGTATAATTTTAAGTGATAAAAGCAATCACACAAGCATACAAAAATCTTAAAATTTTTGCATGTAAATTCCTTCTAAAAATTCCTAATATTATAATTTATTCTTTTTGTTTCATATTTTGATTGAGCCGAGATCAATCTTTCTCCACCTTTATATTTTTTTCTGGGCAATTCTAGAATATCAATTTCATCATCTACGTCAACTGTGATATCATGTTGGAGTTGGATTTCTTGACATTAATCTCTTCAAATAATAGACTCCAACACCAGAATCAACCTATTTGTCTTCTACTCCCCCCTTGAAAACCATAACCCTAATCCATGAAATGGGTTTGTACATAATGAAGAACAAAAGATAATGTTTAGAGACAAAAAAGGAAAAAGAAGGAATTGAATAAGAATCGCTAGGTTTGTACATAATAAAGAGCAAATGATAAGGTAAGAGTCCGGAAATATATTAGGATATACTTGGATCAATTAAATTATATTATTAATTATATTTGATATGCATAAGAGACAAAATATGTTGATAATGTTAAACTATAAAACAAATTGCATGGGTCCTCTAACATAACTTTTTTAATGCAAGCAACCCCCAAGATTAATTTTAAAAATCTATTGGTTTTGTGAAATAGTTTGGGTGTAAAGAACAAATGTTAAATTATCTAATCCGATTAAAGTAGGATCATATAAGTTAAACCCCATACATAAAATTTATTTTAACCAAAACTCATATATAAGTATTATAATTGGCATTGAGATCTAAGAAATGTGTGAGATTCTCTTTGACTTTTATACAAACAATATTTATTTAAATAATAATAGTATAATTAAACTTTGTGATTTGAAAAAAAATCAAACATACAATATAATTAATTACTTTAAAATAATCTAATCTAATCTAATAAGAAGAAAATAGATGAAAGAACTGTGAAAGTTGTTGCAATTTCATAATTCATAATTTTTAAATAAGTTAATCTAATATAATAAGAAGAAAATAATAAATGCACATATCTGTTGAAGAAAATGAAAATGCTATGAAAATTAGTGCAATTTCTTGATCTGAAAAAATAAAATAAAACATACAATATAATTAATTGCTTAAAATAATATAATCAAATCTAATAACAAAGGCACATACTTGTAGAAGAAAATAAAAGTGCTATAGAAATTGTTATAATTTCTTGGCTTATATATATTGGTATGTGATGTTGCATGCAAGAGGATAACAATTGTAAATAGAGTTCTATTTAAATAATAATAATATAATTAAACTTTGAAAATAATTATTGTAGACGGTAAAAAAATACCTCTATGGGTCTACAGGAAATTTGTCTACGAGAAGAGTTCGCACGCCC